CAGATAGTCAACCACACTACCTATCAATCATCTATTCATTGCCATCACCTTTAATATGCATTTATACTCAGTGCACAGTGTCTCCAATACAATTAATCACTTTAGTTTGAATGTTGTTTGAAGCATTTAATCAGAGTCCTCCTGAACATGGCGTTTGCAGCCACAGCAGCTGTCTGTTGACTGCTCAGCTCCTGGCCTAATAGCGTAATTAATACACTTTTTTTTTAAACTGATGCTAATGTAATGTCAGGGTTTTTTGATGGTTAATGGATCACTCTAATTAATAATGAGACAGCAGGATGGAGACGGATTTCTTACTCCAAACAGCATCTTTACTCTTCACATGCCAGCGTCCACAACACTTCCTGACACCCACTGTCACCTGACCGAACGAACCAATCAGGAGGAGGCAGAACCAAACTAGGCAAATGCCAGTGTATTATAAAACAGCAGATTCATCGATTAACTTAGATTACACACACAAATGAAAATGTTAAAATGTGTAAATAATAAATCTGCAAACATAAACTGTAAACTGTTGCTCAGGTAAGCACTATGAATATTTTAACAAATTAACTTGAACATATGAATTTACATATTTTCCTCCACTCAGCACAAATTGCTCTTCCTTAGACTAAACCTTACACTAATATTGGTTTTGTTCTCTAACACACTATATTCTATACTGTGATGTATCATTTTAGGCTCAAGCATGACAACTGGGTCCATTTTGCTTTCAGAAACAACAAGTTGAATACATACAAATAGAAAAAGACGATCGCAACGAGGCTCCGACTCAGACGCAGAGAAGACTTTGCTTTTCAAGGAAGCAGTGACAGCCCACTTCTAACGCAGTCACACTGAGACCACTGGTGCTGTTAAGATGTAGAATGCAGTGACAGATGGAAAGCTGACAAATTTGGTGTGTGTGTGATTTACAGGCTAAAGAAGAGAGTATTTAGCAGAGAGCAACGAGGATGAAGAAGCGACCAGCTCCACTTCTTACCACAACAGTGATCTGATAGACTACAGCCACTGAGTGCTGCTCGATGAAATGGTGTTGCAAAATTCCTCAGAGCAAACATAAACACACACACACACACACACACACACAAATTCATGCATGCACATTGCTTCAATGCAGTGATGAGAAATGTGAGTAATATGTTGATCTTTTACCTTGACAGGCTGTCAACACTGTTTTCTATTTTCATGCCACCAGAGCTCAGTGATGCGAACTGAGTCAGAACTGAACAGTTCAGTATGTCCCTCCATTCAGCGTTAGACTACGATGCATTGTAATGAAGTGAAACTATTAGCTCGTCACTGTAAATTTATATTTAACTGTCAAAAATCTAATTCCCAGCAGTTATTTTTAGTCAAGTGATGTACTGTTCACGAGGACTACTGATGAGCACATAGGTAGCCATTGCTGTTGTTGGTTGTTTCAGTTCATTGTCTGTTTAACAATACCTTCTTAATTTGGCTATTGTCAAATAAATCTGTTAAAAAACATTTTTAAAAAAATATGTCTAGGCATGGGCTGCACGGTGTCCCGGTGGTTAGCACCGTTGCCTCGCAGCTAGAAGATCTCCGGTTGGTTAGAACACCTGGGATCTTTCTGTGTGGAGTCTCCATGTTCTCCCCGTGCAGCGTGGGTTCTCCCTGGGTTTCCAGTTTTCCTCCCACAAGGTCCAAAAACATGTCGAGGTTAATTGGTGATTCTAAATTGTCTGTAGGTGTGACTGTCAGTGTGCTTGGTTGTCTGTCTGTAAGTGTGGCCCTGTGATAGACTGGTGACCTGTCCAAGGTGTCCCCTGCCTTCACCCTGAGTCAGCTGGGATAGACTGTAGTCCCCCGCAACCCTAGTGAGGATTAAGCGGTGCATAGATAATGGATGGATGGATGGATGTCTAGGCATCTGGCTCTGATGACAGACTTGTAAGCATTGCAAGGCCATGTTATGGTTCTACTTACAAGGCACTTCAAACAGTTCCAGAACACATCACAGGCCGAAGATCATTCTTGTACTTTGTCCAACAACGTTCAAGCTTCGCTATCCCTTCCAGAAGGAGGTCACACATTGAGCCTCCAGATACTCTTCAACAACATGGATAACTCTATCAACACTCTGAAAATGGAAACTACGCAAGTGGGATTTCAGTTTGAGAAACCCGGCGCATGGAGAAGCAGTTCAAAGCCACATTTGTCTGCATCTTCCCCTTGTGCTGTGTGAACGGACACATTGTCCTGAAGCAACAGAGCAAAGTTTTCCTCTCCTTTGTTCTTTGATTGCTTTAAACATTTGAGTTTTTGTGGACAGTGATAAAAGGCTTTATAGTTTACAGTTACAACCCATATGGGAGTTACACCCATTGTTTCTGGGTGAGGCAGAGAACTTGTTCTGTGAATTCTAGTTGACGGGCTGATTTAGTTAAAATCTATCACACGTACAATAATATGCATCAAATCACACAGTCCTCATTCTTTGCTTTTCATTAGTCTAAGTCTGATTAAACCTTATTGTAGCTGAACTTCAGGCTTTTTATACTAAATTAGGATTGAAGCTTTAGAAGACTAAGGTTTAAAAAGTTTGAATGAACATGCCAGCTTTAGCAAAGCAGGTGAAAATACTACTGATGTAAACTAGCTGTGCATTACCAAACGCAGCACTATCGACTGAACAAAACAACACACCGTGACGATTCTCAATCTTCTGACCAAAGCGACTGCGGTGCCACTCCCAGCACACGACATCTACTCACCCCTGCATAATGTTACGTTGGAGCTCAGATGTTAGGAAAAATGTGATAAGGCAACATAAAGGTAGCCCGAAATTAATTAACTGTGTTTTTGGGATTCTCAAGGTGATGCTATGATCAGTATGTCTTCACTTTGATTTCTCTCGTCAGATTTACTAACTTGAGGATTTTTTTTAGCTGCTTGAGAAGGAGATGAGCATAAATTTTCATCAAAATTCAACAATTTGACCCACTTTAAACCTGAACCCAGCCTCAATTTCTCTGTAATATTGCTAATCCAAGAAGGCATGCATCGTGTTGTATTTCAGGCGATGTCTTTCGATATATTTTGCAACTGACTGAGTGAAAAGTAAGGAAATACATGATAAGGCAGTATTCAGTGTTACTTAATGAATTCAGCTGTGGCATTACGTCCTGTTGTGAATGCTGTGTGTGTTCAAAGCAGGTGGCACAAAGATGCATGGGGAGCATCCTGTAGACTAACCACACACAGAGAATTTTCTCCTATGAGATGGACTTGGGTTTGGTCATAGAGCTTAAGTAAGGGGTCTTTGTGCTCATCCAAAGGAGAAAGCATTTCTTGAGAGAAATTCAGATGGCTGCAGTTCTCAGGCCAGACTTGCAAAGAAAATAGGATATGGAAATTAATAAGATCTGCAGCGGTTTGCATTCAGTACCCACACAGAGGATATAGGGCTGTCGTGGATATCTGGGTGACTGGATGACTGTTCATCCCGAGGAAACTGACATTTAGACTTAAGATTTGTGCTTATGAGTAACTGAGTCATGACTGCTTTTATCATCCAATGAAAAAGCCATTTGGGGATATCTGTGCTTATTACCTCTCAGGCTGAGCTGTTCTCTGCCATCAATGGATAAAATAGAAGGCATTTAGAAATGTGCTGCAGCAACTGCTGGGGAAGAAAAATAATCATGTTTAAAGGGACAAATTCGGGATTTTGAGTCCGCACAAGGAGAGGGACTTTCAAATCCTCCTCCAGTTGCTAATTCAATTTAAAAGGACTGAAGAACAATTTCACACTTTTCAAATGTCTGCTGTTTTATTTCTGAATTAATTTACATGATGTGGAATTTGAACATTCCAAGTAATTCTGATCAAAGTCAACCTGTTCAACAAAGACCTGCCTATTAACCAGAATGTAGGCAAAGGCAACTAACGTAAGGCTTTTTAACTCCAAAGCACCAAGCAGTAATGGCACTCCAAATTGTATCCTGAATACGACAATAAAGACTTTCTATTATTCTAATCTACTCATCCTTTAAAGCAAAACTGATTTCTTTTTGTTTGTCGTTGTTCATGTTGACTGCCACGGTCTCTGTTTACTCTGCTGTTTACTGACCAGTATATTAGAGCTCAGACAGGTTCTGAGCTCATCACTGGAAATGAATGCAAAATACATCTTATTAAATGTTTGACCATGGCTAACACAATTCTTATGTTTTCATATTAAAATAAAAATTACAAGGCATAAGTAGGAGTAAGTATTTAAAACGTCCTCAACAAACCAAAGGTAAGCTTACAGTTTGGTCTTTCAATAATGATGAAGACATGGAATCCCTGTCCTGACTCTGTGCTGGATGAAGTTGTGTGCATAGATTTAGATAAGACTGACGCATTTGAAAACTTTTTAGAAAGGTGGTAGCCAGGTGATGACATGGATATACACAATATAACCGAAGAAAAAACTGGGACCTCCATTGATACAGTCGTTTCCAGATGTTCCAAGGCTTATGGATGTGCGGAATTTAATCAATTTAATAGCAAAGGCAACAAGAGCTGCCATCATATTTTAAAATATTAGAGGTATCTATGAGCACATTTTCATTAGGATGTTTTATATTTGATCAAAGTTGTAAATACAACCCTGCTTTGACCACCTCAGTCATCATTTGTGTTCCTACATCAGTGGTTTCCCAGCACCGATTTAACCAAACAGCACATTTGACAAGACAAGTCTCTCCTTTGTTTTAAACCAGGAATCTTCTTCATTGCTAAAAAAACAATTTGGCACCAGCTCACATTTTATGTTTGTGCTCTCCTGCTTGTGCCACGCAGCGGTTCTTACATCAAAACTAATGATGATCAAATGTGAATCCTGCAGTCAAAACCCCCGTATCAGTGCAATTTCACGAGCAGCTGTAATTAAATCCAGCAACACATAGAAGCCATGGAAGGTTTTTGCATCTCTGACGTACAGCAGCAGCAGAGGCACTTACATGGAGGTGATGTTCTGGAAAAGATCCTCAATGCTCCCGGTGCTGTTCCCAGCGCTCCCGGCGCCCGGGAAGGACAGCAGCGGGAAGAATTTGCTGCTGTCGGACTTATTGCAGTAGATCTCAGTGGGCGAGCAGGTGCAAGTGGGCGGACAGTCCAGCAAGGTGCTCAGGTAGCTGTGAAAGAAAAGGCTGAGCAGCACGAGCCCCCTCCAGCAGCACCGTATCCTGGGAGGGCGACGCACTCCGAATGCGCCAAATAACGCTCCAAATACATCCATGCTGTCACGATTCAAGTCCCCAGATTTCTTTGCAACTTTGATTCGCAGCAACAATAAAAAAAATCATAAAAATAAATAAAAAATGGTCCAAATCCTCTGGTTGAAAGTCAGCTTCACGCTTACGTGGGTGTAGATGCACGATGCGCTCCCCTTATTCCTCTCAATGGAGCGCAAATGTTAACATAAGACCACATCTCCCTTCATATCCGTGCATGTTCGTGTGTGTGTGTGAGTGTGTAGGTGTGGGTGTGCATGTGTGTGTGTGTGTGTGTGTGTGTGTGTGTGTGTGCGTGTGGGGGAGCGAAGCCGCTCGTGTGAAAAAAAAAAAACACGCTGGGAAGGAAAAAGGGAGGAAAGAAGAGAAATCCTGAAAATATTCCAGGTACATGACATGAAGGGGGTCTGAGTGCGCGCAGTCCTGTTCTCTTCCTCTTCTCTCTGCATCGTTTTATGTCATCCCTCCATCCCCCACCCACCCCCACTCTCCCTGGCGCTGTCGTGCTACCAGCGTAAGGAGATGGTGAAGAGACATAGAGAGAGACTGGGAGGCAGAGAGTGGGAGAAACACTCCATCCTCTGAGCTTCAAGTCCCACCTACTGGGCACGGTGGAAACTGACACAGCTTCGTGCACAATCAGGGGTTCAGCCTTGGCTTGGCTTGTGTTTTTTGTTGTGTACTAACCCCACAGAAATGCAAGAAGCAGATCAGGTAGCCATACAAAGATGTTCCCACATCCACTGCCCTGTACCCTGTGCAAGGGTGGGCACCCTGTTAGATTACTCTGGTATATTTAAATTTAAAAAATAAAATCCAAAAAAGGGAAACCAGCAGTGACCCTCGAAACATAAGGGTCACTATGTGTAGGTTGATTGTGTACAACTTAATTCAATTCAATTAAATTTATTCATACAGCCCAGATTCACAACATATGTCACCTCTCAGTGCTTCACATAATAAGGTGAAGACACATTTTGAACAGAGAACCCAACAATCCAAAGTAGCCTTTGGATCATATAAGCAAGCGGTCGGCAGCAGTGGGAAGGATATTGTCTGGTAGTCCTTTACAAGGACCTAGTTTTCAGAAAAAGACATTTTCAGCAACTTATTTTTGATGTTTAATCAAGTTACCTACCAGCAAAGTACCTGCCACATTTATTAACATTCCCATCATATTAGTCTTCAGTCCTGTCAAGCCCTCCAACTTTTGCAAAATAACTAAGTGACCCTTTTATGATGTGGCAGTGCTATAGAAGTCTTTCAGTTAGATTAGGGCACAAAAACAGCTTGGCTCGGTTTTAGGAAAGATCTTAGTTTGGGTCAAAATAAGTGTTGTGTTAAAGTTAGAGGATTTTCAGGAACATGCTTACAATAATAAACATGCCATTAACTACACTGCTCCAAAAAAAAAAAAAATGCAGGGAACACTAAAATAACACGTCCTAGATCTCAATTAATTCAATATTCCAGGTGAAAGTCTTTATTCATTACATAGTGGAATGCACTGAGAACAAAATAACATAAAAATGATTAATGTAAATCAAAATTATTATCCCATGGAGGTCTGGATTTGGAATCATACTCAAGTTAAAAGTAGAAAATCACATTACAGGCTGATCCAACTTCAGTGGAAATTCCTCAAGACAAGTCAGAATGAGGCTCAGTAGTGTGTGTGGCCTCCACATTCCTGTATGACCTCCCTAGAACACCTGATGAGGCAGGATGTTCTACTGAGGGATCTCCTCCCAGACCTGGATTAAAGCATCAGTCAACTCCTGGACAGTCTGTGGTGCAACATGGAGTTGGTGGATGGAACGAGACATGATGTCCCAGATGTGCTCAGTTGGATTCAGGTCTGGGGAATGGGCAGGCCAGTCCATAGCATCAATGCCTTCATCATCAGGAACTGCTGACACACTTTAGCCACATGAGGCCTAGCATTGTCATGCATCAGAAGGAACCCAGGGCCCACTGCACCAGCATCTGGCTAGCCCATGGAGGGTTGTGCGGCCCTCCAAAGAAATGCCTCCCCACACCATTACTGACCCACCGCCAACCTGGTCATGCTGGAGGATGTTGCAGGCAGCAGAACATTCTCCACAGCGTCTCCAGACTTTGTCACATCTGTCACATGTGCTCAGTGTGAACCTGCTCTCATCTCGAAAGACTGCAGGGCCCCAATAGCCAATCTGCCAATCTTGGTGTTCTCTGGCAAATGCCAATCTCCCTGCACGGTGCTGGGCTGTAAGCACAAGCCCCACTTGTGGACGTCGGGCCCTCATACCACCCTCACGGAGTCTGTTTCTGACAGTTTGAGCAGAAACATGCATATTAGTGGCCTGCTGGAGGTCATTCTGCAGGGCTCTGGCAGTGCTCCTCCTGGTCCTCCTGCACAAAGGAGGAGGTAGTGGAGTGGTCCTGCTGCTGGGTTGTTGCCCTCCTACGGTCCCCTCCACATCTCCTGGTGTACTGGCCTGTCTCCTGGTATCTCCTTCATGCTCTGGACACTGTGCTGAGAGACACAGGAAACCTTCTTGCCTCAGCTCACATTGATGTGCCATCCTGGATGAGCTGCACTACCTGAGCAGCATGTGTAGGTTGTAGACACCACCTCATGCTACCTCTAGGGGTGAGAGCACCGAGAAAATGCAAAAGTGACAATGTGAGACAATGTTTCCACATCTCAGATGCAACAAGGGACACTGATTGTACAATGTGATGTGTTCATCTGATTTTTGGAATGACATGTTGGTTATTTTATCTGTCTGCCTAAATTTTGATCCAGAGCAAGATATCTCTGTTTATCTCTGGTAAACCTTAAAACACAGTAATGGATATTTGTTTTTTTTTTCAAAAGAGAGAAGACATTCAAGACATGTT